GAAAGAGCATTCAACCATGTCGAGTACTACTTGATTCGGGTGCACAAGTCACGCTCATTTCTGAGGCGTGAGCACAGCGTCTACAGCTAAAGCGTTCATATGATACAACTTTAATTCATGGGGTCGGGGCAGGCACTAGAAGTTATACAAAGGGTAAGGTGTACCTACAATTGAAGGCAGCATATTATGAGAAGATGGTAACAACGGAGGCTTTATGTGTGGATCGCTTGACACAAAATCTTCCTGGCCACACAATCAACAACGAAAAACTTGATTATTTCAACAACCTGCAATTGGCTGATCCCCAATACAACTTAAGTGGACGGATTGACATCATCGTGGGTGCTTACTACAAGACAAGATTGTACATCCAAGTGGAGCTCCAAGCGCAATACAAACCATTTTCGGCTGGATTATTGTCGGTAACGTAGCTGATCAGCGAAATCTTGAAATAGTAGCAGCACATACGACAGTCGACTTGGGTGAGCAACTGCAGCAGTTTTGGAAAATCGAGGAATGTAACGAAACAATGAGTTACCTGACACCTGAAGAAGAGCAAGCAGAAAAACACTTCCAGCAACACGTTCAGAGGGACCCAAGTGGACAATACATCGTCAGACTCCCATTTAAGAGTACAATGGTTAACTTGGGGGCTCGAGGCAGGCGGCGTTAAAACGATTTCGTGGTTTGGAAGCCAAATTCTGCAAAAATGTATTTCTTTAAACACAGTATACCGATTTTATTCACGAATTTTTCGAGTTAGGACACATTGAAGTAGCAAGGAGCTGCTCATCTAGCAATACCTATTTCATGCCACACCACATAGTGTTTAAACATAGCAGCACTACAACAAGGGTACGCGTAGTGTTTGATGCTTGCTGTAAAACAGATAATGGAACGTCACTCAATGAGCAACTACTTGTAGGTCCTACAATACAGAAGGATCTGTTCACAATCCTAATACAATTTCGCAGGTATAAAATCGGGTTCATTGGGGACATAGAAAAGATGTACCGCCAGGTGCTCATACATCACGATGATCTTTCGTATCAACGCATCTTATGGAGGGGTGATGCAAATAAGCAAATACAGGAATACAATTTAAGGACCTATGGAACAGCCTGCGCGCCTTTCCTAGCTACCAGAACACTGCGTCAAGTAGCGATTGACAATGCTGAACTGAATCCCAATGTTCCAAACGCTATCGAAACCTGTTTTTACGTAGATGATTTCATATCATGCGCAACTAGTGTAGAGGGGGCTACTAAACTAAAAAATGATTTGTGTAAAATTCTTGACAGTGCTGGATTTAACTTGCGGAAATGGTCGACGAATTCACCACAGTTCATTGATAGCATTCCCACACAAGACAGAGAATCCTCTACAGAGACCGTAATCAATGATACCCAAACCGTGAAAACCTTAGGGTTATTGTGGAATACAACCAAGGATTGCTTTAAATTTAGTGTAGCGCTGGAGGCCATGCCACATGTCGTTACAAAACGTGCAGTCTTGTCTGATATATGCAATATCTTCGATTCGATCGGTTGTTTGGCACCAGTTGTCGTTAGCATTAAAATTTGCATGCAAAGGCTGTGGCTGAGAGGCATTGACTGGGATCAACCATTGCCCGAAGATCTATTAACCCAATGGCTTGTGTTACGTGATAGTATGTGTCAGATAACCAGCTTGCAGATTCCAAGATGGTTACAATTGTCAGACAACAGACACGTCGAGCTCCACGGATTCGCTGACTCATCAGAGTTGGCATATTTAGCTGCAATATATTTGTGGGTGCGACGTCCAGATGGACTAATCTATACAAATCTTATTGCTGCAAAAACTAGAGTAGCCCCACTACCACGTTTGGAGTTGTGCGCGGCGCAGCTAATGGTGAAACTGATGGTGAAGCTGCAGCATATATTCAACATTGAGAATGATAGGATGTTTGGTTGGTCAGATTCCACGGTAGTGTTGGTCTGGATTGCGGATCATCCAAGACGCTGGAAATCATTTGTCGCGAAGAGAACATCATACGTCACTAAATTGTACATGCTAAACAATCGCGGCACATTCGTTCACAGCAAAATCCTGCAGACTTAGCGACGAGGTATATCGCCTTCGGCTCTCATTAACAACAAGTTGTGGTGGCATGGGCCAGACATTTTGAAGTATTGTAATGAATCAACAGAACAGCAGAATTTCGAGGCACCCAACGACGTCGACATGGAAGAGTGAAAGAATGTTATTCACATCGCTACAACTTCCGAAGCCAATCACATCAAAAGATTTTCAGACTACAACCGATTGCTTAGGATCACAACTTGGATTCTGAGGTTCACACAAAATTGCAAAAGGGCTAAGTCCGAACGGATAACAGGGCTACTTACAGTAACCGAACTACAGACAGGCCACAATGTGTTAATGAAGAATGTCCAAGTGCAGTCCTTCGCGGCTGAAATTCGAGCCTTATCGGCTAAAAAACAGCTTTCAGCAAACCACAAGTTGGAATCACTTGCGCCATTTGTTGACAAATATGGCCTATTACGATTTGGTGGTCGAATTGACAATGCTGACATGAGTTATGAACAAAAGCATCCATTAATCTTACACAAAGACAGTTACTTAACTGAGCTAATTGTGAAGGAATATCATATACGATACTTGCACGCTGGAAGCCGTCAACTTCAATATTTATTAGGATTGAAATATTGGATACCCGGCATAACTCATCTAGTCAAACGCTGTGTATACAAATGCATTCGGTGCATGCGATTTCGTGGCGAGCCCTTCCAACAACAAATGGGTGATCTTCCCCGACATCGACTTGAAACTGGCTCCGCCTTTACCAACACCGGCGTGGATTTTGCCGGTCCTATACAAGTGCGGTCGTGGAAAGGTCGTGGAAGTAAGCGCTATAAGTCTTGGATTGCATTATTTGTATGTAAAGTCACAAAGGCTATTCACTTGGAATTGGTTACAGAACTTTCAACAACGGCGAGACGTGGCAGACCATGCCACATTTATTCTGGAACAAATTTTGTTGGATGCAATCAACAGCTACGCGAAGTAATTCAATTTGTGAACAGATCAGCAAGACAAGAGCAAATAACGAGAGAATTGGCAGATCAAAACATTTAATGGCATTTCTCAACACCCTCCGGCCCGCATTTCGGTGGCATGTGGGAGGCCGGAGTGAAATCAACGAAGTTCCACTTGAATCCGCCTCCGCAACGTATGAAGAAATTACCACAATATTGTGTCAAATTGAAAGTTGCTTGAACTCAAGACCAATATGTTTAAAATTCGAAGGGGATGAGGACGCATCAACCCCTGCCCATTTTCTAATTTTCCGACCAATGTCATCTATGCTCGAGGTAAATTATTTGAAACGTTGGCAGTATTTACAATACCTAGTTCAGCAATTCTGGAATATATGGTCAACAGAATATATCGGTCAATTACAACAACGCCCAAAATGGACACAAACACTACAAAATTTGCAATGCAACGACATCGTAATAATAAAGGATGATCTCCTTCCACCAGCCCTATGGTCCATCGGAAGAGTGGTTGATACCCATCCAGGCAAGGACGGTCTGGTACGAGTAGTCTCTGCTAAAACAACTAAGGGAATATATAAACGCCCCATCGTCAAGCTATGCCCATTGTTTCTAGATGTTTGAAAGCGCAAGCTTTCAAAAGGGCCCGAGATGTTTACACTTTGACTTCCATTTCTTAACATAGGCATATTCAATACGTAAAATTACAACATTGTAACCCTGATATAACTAATAACTAAATGCAACCATGTACAATTACACAACGCGAACACATTGGCGTTGGCTGTCAAAAAAAAAGAGGTTGATATTCTGGAAATATATGTACACACGAAACAGTCCACGAATAAATGAAACATTTTTTGTACTCAAATAAAAATTACAGTGAGTGGTTTCATTATTAAATACAAACCAAGGAATAGGTTTACGGCATCGATTGCCACATTCATCCCTATAAGAAGCAACCTTAAAAAAAAAATTTCGAAATCTGAGCCAACAAAGTACTGGGCATATTCGAGTTAAGCTCAATAACGGTAAATTGCAAATGTCTCGAAAACGTATCCATAGAAAAAAAAGTAACTCGATTTTCGGAATCACCGAGCAATTCTACATAGCAATTGGATAGTGGCATCCATAGAACATTTTTGCTGTAAACCAGTGTAATTAATTGGCAATTAATTTGTGTCAGATTCTCTATGCGACCCTGCTAGGTATGTTAAATTTGACTTGGAAGTATGTTTATTGAACAAAGAGCAACCAGCTGTTTGTTTCTGGTCCTCTTTTACAGCTGATATTCCATCATTATAAAATTTACCTAATTTACGGAAAACTTTACCTAAAAGTAGATGGATGTACCTAAAAAGTAAACAACTATTTCTATATAAAGAAAATAGGAGGATAACAACTTTCAACGAAACCATATTAACTTCTGTGCTCACATTAAACAAATTTTGGCTATGAAAAGAGTCTCTTCGAGCAGAGCGAAACAAAACTATGGTGTAGAAAAGGTTAATCATTTTCCTCCCAGTTCTTCAATACGACGTTTTAAAAAGAAATATTTTCCGTCAATCTGCCGAAATCAACTACAGTTGTGTTACTTTGACTACCCTTCTATATCATTTGTATGCCCCTTCACAAAGGAGGGAAGCAACTGTTCTACCCGCACCAGAAAATGCATTGAAATGTCAATAAAAATAAGAACTGATTTCCTGAAAAGTTATTTGACTACGTTCCCAATGTACCTTAAATTGTGTGTTTGTATTTTCAAACTAAATAAAGGTACGATTATACCACCTTTTCCATCACTGCAGGTTATCCAGCAGCTGATTTCACGTGTGTCAAGTTAGCACTACACTTTTCGAATTTGGAAAAGTTAACTACGGCATTAATTGTAGTGTTTTTGTTGTAAATTTGTTGTGGAAAGAAAANTTGTAGCTTTCGTTTTTCTGGAAAAAATTGAGTTGACCCTTTTTCGAACAAAATTTAGTATGTAGTGCTAACTTGACACCATGCACCATTGTCGACAGAATTGACACATGACAACATGGTGTGATAGCTATTGATCGTCCAAATGCCCAAAGCAATTACTTGACACACGTTGGATGGTTTACAAACATTTTTAATTACTGATTATAATAAATTTAGGAAAAAGATGCAATCTTTTAAATTTTAGCTGCCTGTCAATCCATAAGGGATCAATGTTTACCACGCACCAACGAAACAAGCATGCGTTTTTTCGTACCAGGAGAAAGCATCGAAAGCCTATACCTTATGAATGCATAAGAGCCCTGCAGTAAAATTTAGAGACAGTCTGGCAGAGCGCTAGTTCCGGACTACATATCTCAGAACTCTCTCTGAGTCGATAGAATTGAGATATCCTAATATGTTACTATGCCATTAATTGTAGCTTTAACTTTAAAATTTGTTGTGAGAAAGAAAAAATTTGTAGCTCTCGTTTTTTAAGAAAAAATGGTATGTAGTGCTAACTTGACACCATACACCTAGTCGATAGAATTGAGATATCCAATATG